CTCCCCAACGGTCATGCACTGTGTTTTGATGAAATGCGGAGCCTGTCCTCATTTTGGTGAAACGTTTGGTGAAATCTCGATTTGATATCAATTTGGTGAAACCGTTGGAGCATGAAAAAGTGTTTTTTTCACCAAATTTTAAATTTGATGCCAGATTTGGTTCAGGGTTGAAAATGGTCTTACTTATTATTTTATTATTAATAGACTTACTATTTAAAATATTACCTGCGACATAGGTCACTTTCATTTCTTGAAAATTATATCATCTTTTGCATTTTAAATATATAAAACTAATGACACACCATTTTTAATTATTTCTCCCTATATTTTGTCTTGTTATGATTTGTAACAAGTAAAATATGATATGTAAATATTAATTTATTAAAATTTGTTAAAATTTACTAATTTTTTAAAATAGTCATTATTGTGAAAAATTAATTTTTGATATAATATTAAAAATAAATAAAAGAGAAAAAAAAATTGTAAACAAAATATATTTAAATTGTAACCTATTTAAACTTATTTTTAAAAACATTAATTTAAAATAGTTACTTTTTTTTTTAAACCTACAACACCTCAAAATAGTAATTACTATTTAAGAATTTGAGATTCACATTTTCATTTATTACTTATAAATTTTGTATATTTTATATAACATATATATGAATTTCTTGTAAAAAAAATTTAGAAACTTTTATAAATTCATAATTTTTTGTTATCTATTTAATATCCATAATGAAATATTTTTTCTTCATAAAATTCATAAGTTTTCTTCATAATATTTTTTAATATCTAAAATATTGTAAAGCATAAATTGAAAATAAATAGAATAAAATAACTTAAAAAGACCTCTCATTTATCAATATTTATTAATACTAATAAATGAATAAATGTACAATAATTATTTCATTTTCAAAAATGCTACAGACCCCAAAAGTTTTACCAAAATTTTTACCAAATGTCTCACATTGTATAAGACCCACATGACACCCACATGGTGTGAATCTCACATCCATGTGAGACGTTTGATATAAATTTTGGTAGAACTTTTGAGATCTCTAGTATCACTCTTTTCTTTTACATACTACATTTGAAAATATTAATTGCTATATAAGAAGAATAATGATATATATATATATATATAAAATATAAGAATATAAGAAAATTTTAATTTGAAACTCTTTTTCAAGGGTCTCCTCTTGTGAGGAATCCCATTAAGAGTTTGATGAAATTATTGTGAAAGTCTTCACCTATTTATAAGAAAAAAATTCTTTCAAAAAAACTCAAGAAATCCATGTGGGATTCAATCAAATGTATTGGAGGGAATATTGAAATTTTGATATCCCTCCAAAATTTTTGCTTTCCTTTCAATCAAATTATTTGAATTAAAATCATATGGAGGGAATATTAAATATTTGATTTCATCTTCCAAAATTGAAATTAATAATATTTTAAAATATATTATTATATTTTTTAGTAAAAAAAATATTAGGACAAATATTTAAGATAATTTAATATTTTTAATTTATAATTTTATTACTTATATTTTTATTTAAATATAATTTTAATATATTTATTACGTCACGGTTCGATTTCGGTTCAACCCGACGGTTGAACCGGTGACCCGTCCACCCGATCTCTTTTCTAGTTCGCTCACCGGTCCGGTTTTTAAAATATTGGTTTCACATACCCATATCTGACATTAGAAAACAGATTCCCTATAAATCAGATTATGAGGGTTGTTTCACTCACTCAAATCTTTACCCATTTATCCATATTATAACAACTCCCTTTTTATTATGAGATAATAACCACACTTTACCCATCCACATACATATCTCATATTAAGTAGGAGAAAACTTAATAGTGGTCTAACCAAATCAAAATACCTAGTCTACTTGGTCAATCACACCCATTATCTTTTTTGTAAAGAAAAGAAAAAAAAAAAAACTAAACAACCAAATGTTAATCAAATATAATAATAAATTAAAACATTATATATATGAACAAATTAATAAATAAAATATTGAGGGCTATTTGGCCACTCAATCCAATAGTGGTAATGTGGTGGCACTGAGAAAACTTTGTTTCATAAATTATTTTCCACCTGTTAAAATTGAAAAATATTTTTCACCCAAATAGACTTGTCTTCCATTGACCATCGAAAATATTTTCTGTTGACTTTTGTTTTTCATTGTATCAAATGACAAAAAATGCAAAACATACTTTTTAGAAAATATTTTCTGCGTAAACAAATAGAGCGTAAATTAAATATAAATTCATATAATTTTCCTTTAAAATTACATATAGAAAAAAAATTCCAAGGTACAACAACATACTTTTCCTTTTATTTTTCTCTCTACTTTCTTTCAAATCAATCAATCAAAATTTTTATTTTGTAATTCTTTTCTCTCTTATTTCTTTTATTTTTATATACTTTTTCCATATATTTCTCTTACCATGCACAATTTTTTTTAATTTTTTTTTATATTAAAACATTTGGTACAATTTTTGCTTACAATGTAACATAAATAACTTGGATAAGTTGAAAAACAATTTACTTTTGATTATCAACTTTTCACCTACAAAACATTGCACCAAACAAAGTCATATAGTTTTCATCTATAAATTTTCTACCTTTTTGAACATACTTTATAAGAATAAGTTTAGATGTAAACATGAATCTCACATCGGCCAACAATTTAGGACAAATACTGAATCTGACATATGGGATTTCATATATGTGATCCATTACATAAGTTTGATTTGTATTCTTAACATTATTGATTCTACAGTTAAATTTGATTATTTGATTTGAAAAAATTACATAAACCCCCTAAATAAATCATGACCCATTTTCACTTTATACCCTTGTAAAAAAAATATGATAAATAGTTTTGATCATGTATTAAAATTCAAATGGCATGTTTATTATCCTCTTTAAGTTTGGCGAGTTGGTGAAACCATATAAAATGAATTGACGTGGGTTGTGAAAATCATAATTGTTCGACCAAAATGAGAGAAATACTTGAGATATTGTTATGGTATGTGTAGTGAGGTTGTAGCAATTGCGGTGAGGGTAGAGGATGGTGTTGCTAGTGATGGTAATAGTGGTTGTAGTGGTTGTGTGGGTAGGGTTAGTGGTGTGATAGTGCTAGAGGTTGTAGTAACGTGTGCTAGAGTGACTACAACCACTACCCATCACGGCTACCATCTACCACCACTAAAGAATTTAATAAAAAATAATAATAAATAAAGGCCAAGGAGTTTATGAAGTATCAAGTTATCACTCACCTCCCACTACCACTATCTTCCATCTCCCTACCACAACCATGACAAAGGAAGAATAATTTGTTACAAATTTCATCAAACAATTGTTGTACATATTGTGTAAATAAAAAAAAAAATAGATTCATGTTGAACAACCAATTTGAATTTCAGAACAAGAACATGCTGGAATTTACAAAAATTCATAGTAAAATAAAACTAGCACAAGGAAGCAAACTGAAGCCTGCACTAAGCAGTCTCCTTAAAACAGATTCAAGATCTCACCAGTTGGGTGCTGGAGGTTGTTCGACGTCTATCTCCTAAGATACGATGGTTGGACCAGTTACAGCAATACACCGACTGAGTGATTTCAGCAAACAGAACTATGGCAGCACTCTCTCACTAGGAAGAATATAAAAACTAGAGGAAAACTTTGAACACAAAGGGAGAACAAACTTTCTGGTGTAGAAGAATGAAGGAGAGGGTCTCCTTTTATACACATGGAGGGAGAGAAGAAAAGGCTCCTGCAAAAAATGCAAGTTTTAATTTTGCAAAACTCCCAAGACATAAATTGCAAAATTGATGGCTTTAAACCATCATGAATACAAAGGAGTTACCAAGTTTTACACACATGTGTATTGTGTATAATCCTGTAGCTACCTTTCCCAACACCTCTTTCATGAGGCCAACTTAATGATTCAATTTCTCATTCAAATCTTAATAGTTTTTGGTCA